CAGGGAAGCTGATGAAGGAGTCTACATAGATGTGATTTGCTTAGATTTTTCTACGGCATTCAGTCACTTTGTTCTCATCCCAAAGCTTGCCGCCTCTGATATTAACGGTTCCATGCCTACCTGGTTGAAACATTACCTAGGAGACAGAAGCATCAAGGTAAGAATAGCCAGCACTCACTCCGAAAGCCTGTAAGTATCCAGTGGTGTACCGCAAGGACCAGTCCTCAGCGCGTTACAGTTTATAGTTTACATAAATGTCCTGCCAGAAAACATTCTATTCCCGATGCAGATATGTACATATGCTACTAAAAATTTAAGAGCAATTTGCTCAGCATCCGATTGTGTCTATCTTCAGAACGATCTGGATCAGATTAACAAATGGGCAGAAAGGAATCAGCTCCCACAGAACGCGGAAAAGTGCTACCTGCTGACGATGCGTAGCAACTTCATCAACACACGTCTCCTGTGAGAGCAAGCTTTGAAACAGATGACTAATGATCGAGACTTAGGTATCATCATACAAGCAAGTCTGGTCAACTCGCTCTAATGCTCGAAAGCAGCGAATGTAGTGAACTTGAACTTGACGCTTTTGAGGTGAACTCCCGACACCTTTGAACGTTGGCTAGTGTCACTGTTGATCAACACATATCTTCGTCCCCACGTTGAATGTGCGGTTCAAACCTAGTGCCCATGGTTAAAACGAGATATTCGTCTATTGGAGCAACCCCATAGAAGAGCCATAGAAGCAACGTGTAGACCATCCAGACTCAGTTACGAACTGCGCTTTCTGTTACTAGGCGTGTTCTCTTCAGAATACCACCGGCTTCGCGGAGATCTCGATCGCACATACCGGATACTAACTGAAAGCGAGCACCCATGAATATCACTGCTAACCCTGGCCTCTTACAGACAATGCCGGGGCCATCACCTAAAACTATCAGTGCAACACTCTTGTTTGGATTGTAGGAAGTATTTTCACTCTTAGAATCTGTTCGCACTGGAATGCGCTACCAACACGTGTAGTGATCGCACCAGACATCGCGACACTAGAGATTTCTTGGCTGTCATATTAGTGTTAAATGTTACATAACCGGGTGATAAAGTGCAATATTTTTCTTATTGATGAGTAAAGTGCCACGTTGGAACACTCTGGTTTTACTTTTCTTACGCATTTTTCATCCTGCTGGCCTTGTAAATTTATGCTCTTTATCTCATCGTACACCATTTAACTACTGATGAACACGGAACGTTCATGCAGAGGACCGTGGTCGCTTCCGGGCAGTGAGTCTGTTGTCTTCCTTAGCTCGATATGAAGGCCTAGATCTCCACGCGCACTTTGGATCTATTTGACTGACGCAAAAATATCCCAGTCGAGCCTAACCATAATAAAGGGCAGCGTTCGGTAAGTCGGCAGCCTAAACAATGTCTACGCAGTGGCCGTGAAGCATGGTGGTCTCAACGTGCTTCGGAAATGGAGGCCGCTGCTCACGAGCAATACTCGCAAGCTCTCCCAGCTCACTAGATCCACTGGCCTTAGATAGCCTGGTGTCAGTGTGACTATTTGTGAGGTGAAAGCTTCATCGATTGCCAACCTACAGAGACGCTAGTTTTGATGGGCCGAACATGTTACTTCCCAGTTCAGTTGACCCTCAGCGTCCACCTATGTGTTCTGTGAATCCAGCTGCACGCCCTGGGTCGTCACACTTGAGGCACCCCGCGAAGCGGAACTTCGTCTTGCGATGCTAGTATGGAGCTGCATTTCTCATCAGGCCAGCTAACATTGCTTTTCAAAATCTGGCATGAAGAATATACGCCTTCTTCCTTTAGCATATCAGTACTTGTCAAGTTTTTTGAGAAGGATGCACGCACTTTATGCGCTAAGCATCGGGGGATCAGTCTCCTTTCAGTTGCTACCAAGTTATTGGCATCCATACTACTTCGTAAACCATCCTCGACTCGTGAATCGCAGTACTGAGAGGAACAAGCTGGCTTCCTTCCTGGCTTGGATCTGTGGATCAAATTTTCGCGCCTCGCCAAATCCTCGACCTCTGTCACCACTTCCAGAGGCTTACCATCTTTGTATTCTCAGGCATCTGTGCAGCACTCGACTCAGTTGATCAAGTTGTGCTATGGCTTTGCTTGCTAAAGAACGGGGCCCCAGAAAATATACTAGCATCCTGCGTTCACTCTACCTCCACTTCTCAGACAGAATGAGAGTCTATGGAGAGCCTTCATCGTCCTTCACTGTCAATAGCGGTGTACGACAGGGCTGATCTATATTCCCGTTCCTCTTCAATTTTACCATTGAAGACGTCCTGTCAAAAGCTCTGGAGGGTTATCAAGGCTTTCGATTGCAAATTCTGTCGGGTAAGCGAGTAAGCGATTTAGATAATGCCGATGATCCCGCTCTACTTGATGACGACTTGCGGAGCATGCAAAGCATTCTAATCCGTTTAGCGGTTGACACATCTAAGTACAGAATGTACCTCGTTCCATCGAAATGCAAAGTTGTGCTCCAGAATTGGCACTTGCCTGTTCCTGTGCTCACTGTTGTAGGTACACAGCTTGGACACATTAATAACTTCGTGTACCTGAGCAGCTGTGTGTCAGCTGGTGGTGCTGTCAGCTGGAAAGTTTCTCTCCACGTCGCCAAAGCACGATCAGCGTTTGTCAACCTGCAATGCTTGTGACGCTGTCGAGATGTTTCTCTTGATAAAGAGTCGTGTTTACAATACCACCGTTCAGACGGTGTTGTTATACGGCAGTGAGTCATGGCCAGTTCGTGTAGATGACATGCGCCGGCTCTAGATCTTCGATAATGGGCGCTGGATGAGGGTTGTTCTTGCATGGTGGCAACAACTTTTCTGCAATGATGAACTCACACGTCGTGTCATAGGGAATGCGAGTATTCCCTGCAATAAGCTGGTTTTGCTGCGTCAGTTAGGATAGCTGGGTCACGACTTGCGTATGCCAGCTGAGCGTTTACCCCACTGCTCTCCCTTCACTCAGGTAGGACTTAGCTGGATGAGACCACGCGGTGGTTAGCCTTCCACTTGGCGACAGTATATGAAATCGCTAACTTTACGTCATGCGGCCGTTGGGATCCACACGCCTGGTTGGTGACCAAAGGACGAGGCGCGCTAATGGATAAAAACAATTCAGGATCGAAACCAGTGGATGATCTGTGTACATACTTGTTTGGATTCAGACGCTTAATGATTAAGAGTTGAAAACGAAAAATCTAAGAATGGCAAAGTAACAAAAATCTTGTTTCTTTTATTTCTGCACGATAGATGGAGTATGCTGTTCACGTACAGCTAATGTGCCATGATGATGCAGTAATTAAATTTCTCGTCTTTTAGAGATTTCCATGGTTTTATTTGGCTCTATGTCTATTCGTTAGACCTTTGCTAATGCTTATCACATTCGGGGCATTTTATCCGGTAGACTACATAGGTTTTAGTGCCTTGTTTGATTTTATCCTTCAGCTCTGTAAGTATCCAACCCAGGGTAGCGTCTATTTTGTGTGCGGCAGTGACTGTGTGGCTGAAGTATTCGTGTTGCTAGTTCAAAATCATTATTGATGTGTGGAAGTACTGCATGTTTAGTTGTCTGTTCTGGCGGATAGGTTGATGTTTTCATCTTCAGGCTTCTTCTAATAAGGTTTCGTGGATATCTATTGTCCTTTTAACACGCGGTATAGATGGTTCCCCTCCTTCTTTCTCAATTCCATGGTACTGCAGTGTTTCCGCTATGTTGAACAGAGCTTTTATTTAGCTCTTTTGGTGGTTCATCAGGTGGTTACTGTGGTAGCTCAATATTTGATCCGTGTATTGCTTCTTTCGATGTATACAAGCTTGTAGTGTTCTATCGGTGTCCATGTAAATCAAAACTTGCAGGAATGGCTATTTGTTGTCTTCCTTCAATTCACTGGTAAACTTAATTTCCTCGAATGGTTGTTGATCAAATCGTGTGTACGCTGTAGTGAATTTAGTTTCATTATGACAAATGTATCGTCAACGTATTTGGTCCCAAGCTTTCGGTTGCTCAGTGGCATGCTAATGCGCTCCAAGTTTTGCATTACTGCTTCGGTAATGATCCCTGATATTGGTGACCCCCCTTCAGTTATTGCTATATTTGTCCGGCAAAGGAGAAATAAGTAGCAATGCACAGGTACAACAGCCCCTACACTCTCTCCGGTTTCAAGTTTCCTGCTAAACTTGGTTGATTCCAGAGTAATTAGATCATGATCTACTTGGTAAGTTCGACGCATAGTCACCTAGCACGCAAACTAAGTGCTTCTATGAGAGAGGGTTGCTCACAAGATCGAAGAACAAAATCAAACAAGGTCATTAAAACCGATGTAATCCACCAGATAAAATACGCCAAACACGCTAAGCATTACATCTGACAAGGGGTAAAAATCTATCCACACGAATCACAGGGACGAAGAAGGCATGATCCCATTTCATTGGTTTCGATACACGAGGGTGAAGCTAGGTCATCAATTTGACCTAGAAAACGTAAAGATTCGAGCACATGGGAGTACGAAGTAGGAAAGAGAATCCTTAGAAGCATGGCCATTCATAATGAATCCAGTCAATAGATACGTAGCGTTGGACGTCATCTGCGCAAATCATGAAGAAAAACACCACCACCGCTTCGTTTTCTAGAGGGTCCCACGGCGTCGGGGGCTTTGCCGTTGGCTCCAATAAGCTTATTAAGCAATGCTGTTTCGACGGAGTAGACTTAAGTTGTGTCTCCCTAGTGAACACGGTGGCCCATAAATTATCTTTTTCGTGTAACATTCAGAGTATTTTATTGCCTCAACGACGATATTAGTAGCTGCCTTTTATATACTAATACTTTTTAAAAGTAGGAGAAAGTGCCTGGAAACATGCATCATTAGCCAGTACTCCCTAGCAAATACGTTGGCTTGTTTTCAAATGAAGAAGCTGAGGGAGCAACACAAATAAGGAAAACCGCAACTCAAAACATACCGATATAGCTCAAAACCACAGGTAAGACAACGAGACCCGTGCAGGAGCCGAAGACAACGATGCCCAGGTACATTCGAAAGTAGAATATTTGGAACAACCGAGATTTGGAAAAAGCCAGCACAATAATGCCTCCGAATTTGGTCAGTGTAATTCCGCGAAGAACCTGTGAGTAAAAGGTGATTCACAGTGGCCAGTTTGATATGGTGACAAGACGGTAGTGCGGATAATCTCAAAATTGCATACTTTGGGACATCATAGACTCACAGAGCTTCCCATTTTCGAAAGCGCAGCCTTCGCTCTAGTGAGTCTTGTAGGCTCAGTACTCACAATGAAGGCGTACACTATGTGGGCACAAAATTCCACTGAGATTCCGATTGCCTGAAATCGAAGGAAGTCAAGTCAAATCAACAACGAGATGCGCTTTATGCGCCTATGAAGAGTGAATATCCAGCTACAACACACACTGGTTGCTATCAGTTGCGATCTCTGCTTAAACAACGCGAGCCGAATTAGGCAATAGGTCTAATCAATTTCAATCATGTATCTGCTCTACGTTCTTAGGTACCTATTTAAAAAGCATGTTAGTCAAGAGAAGAAGAGCATAGGAATGTCTGTATACGTGCGTGTGCGCTGAGTGACATTTGAGGAACACATTATGTTGGGGAGCAATGACTTGTTATGTAATTCTCTGTCGGAGGATCAGCTCCATGACATTTGTTCACCGGCTTTCCATGCTTACTTCTAGATAATTGCAACTGAAGAGTTTTACACAGGGTGATGTTTCACAACATCTACAGCAGCAGCTGACGCTTTCAACTCAACAAGCAACACCGTTGCCCACCAATTCCATATATATATATATATATATATATATATATATATATATATATCCAACAAACGGTTTCCCAAGTGCAAGAGAAATCAATACTGCATGAGAAAATAAACCTCGGTTGAGAAAACGGCAGGCGTCGATAGTGGATAGTCCATCGACCTCGGGCGCAGTGTGTTGTAGCACATGCGGTCGCGAGTGCCTGAGTCAAGTGGGCCTGGTAAGCCACCAGCGTCGGCACATTGGGCCAACATCTAAGAGAAGACGAGTATGCTAAAGGTATAATCATCATCAGCGCGGTTCTTGGTAATTTTGCTGCTTTCGATTCAGTTTAATAACCCAAATTAATAAGGTGGTTGATGTAGTACGTGAGCCGCGTCGTCGTTGCAGTTGGTCCCTGCGTGTGCCTGCATGTTGAGATTCTTGCATTTCGGGTGTTGGCTGTTGTATGACATCCCCGGTGTAACTGCGTTTGATTTGAATGTTGACAACGTGCCTACCTGTCTATTAACCACCACGTCGCCTATACTGGCTCCAGGAGACAGTTGGTCGTTGTTGGAGAGGACGGGGTGTTTTGTCCTAGTGGCTAGGCTCAGAGTAGTTCCTCGCATCCAGTGTGGAAATGCCTAGACCCAGCCACCGCCTTGTGTACGTTCGGTACACATGAATTCCCAAATAGGCATGAATGCTTCTGCTCTGCTTGTTGAAGGATTGTGGATCGGCTCTGTTGATGAAACGTGGCTCCAATCCACCTGCCTCCCGGTCGTGTCCCTTCGGGTTTACACTGGCTATGGGGGGTGGATGGAGCTGTAGGTGGTGTAGCGCAAGCCAATCATAGTCCCTCTGTAGGCGCAGGCTTGCTGTGACTGTCCCTGTGGAGGTCACAGTGACAGGCAAATCCGGAACCGGATGCCACCAACCATATAATTCCTATTACTATTTGGATCATCAGCGTTTCCAATAAATCAATGCGCTGCACTTCTGGCTAATCACGCCATTTTTGTCATGGGGCAAGATATTTCAGTAACAGCCACGGATGTAGGTAGCAGTTCATAGAAAACTAAAATGAATTTCATTACCCTCGCAACTGCTGCCTGAAAGTGTAGCTTCTTCAGCAAAAATAGATAAGCAGTGCGTAGTAAGGGAGATTTATTGCGTTTTTGAGAAGATTCATCATAGCTAGATTCAGCCAGACAGCAACCACACACCCAGGAAAGTGCTAGCCGGTCTTTTCTTTCTAATGAAACTCGTTAGTAGCGCGCATCCGCCGAATGCCGCCAGATCCGAATCAATGATGCTACTCTTACGAGTCATCCGGATCTGGCAGTATCTAGGGGTTGAACGTTACTGACGAGTCTCGGTAGGATGAATCGGCCGTCAAGCGCTTTTCTGCATTTGTGGTGGCTGTTTGGCTCATAATCTTTGGGACGCCTGTACGTGATTTACTAAACGCATCTGATCTGCTGCGTGCAGTCTAGCTGCTTCGATTTGGAAGTCTGCTCTCATTTAGTTTTAACTGACAACCATGTTAACTGCACCTGAGTCGTGATACATTTTAGAATGTCAGTCATACATCGTGTGTATTTCCTTCAAAATACTTACTTTGAGCATGCTTACGTCAATGGGACTTTTCCCATTTACTATCGTGAATCACAGCGTTTTTTACGTGTGATACACGAGGCAGTTTATGCTGATATCATTACGATGACTAATTAACTATAAATGAAGGATGTGCGATTAAATATCCTTTTATAGACAATATACGACGGAGAATCAACCGCCTCCACTCACTTGGCAACTTCAAATTGTCCTTGTTAATTACTGTCACCGAAAGAATAAAACCTACTACGTATAGTAAGAACACACGGAGTCCGAATTTAAATGTATGTAGTTACCAATAATTATGACAAGTGAATGGGCCCAATAGGCGCCTGTTATGGTATAATCCATATATACCACACAGCCAAAACCGCTGTATTCTTCGTGCTATTTCAGAGTGAATAAGGGACGGGAATAACGGGAGTTGCACACTTACCACGATCAGATTGACTAGAGAGAGAGCATTCAAACTGATTCCCCAGAGTACCATCATGCCCATTAAGCTGATCAAGATGTAAGCCACACCGAATAGAACCATAAGCGTTCCGGCCACATTGAGGCCAAGGAAGAGGAAGGTCACCACGGAGACGGCCAGCACGCAGACTCCGATCTGCAGAATTGCGTCATGGATCACAGTTATGTACTGCTCGTAAAACACATAGAACACACTGTTTTTCGGGTTGCGAAGAGAAGTAAGAAAGTCTTGTTACTCGGATTAATGGTGGCAGAATAAAAATAAAAGTAATAATCATATAAGTATACCTCAGGCAGCTCTCGTATATCAGTGCAATATATGTAGTCAAGCAGTTCCAGGTTTTGGTGACTGAGTTTTTCGATGGTGAGATTATAAACCGCATTTAGGATACGAGTCACTTATCAGCCGGTTTCAATCTATGTGAACAAACATGATGGCAGTTTAAAATTGAAGTGCGGAGATAGGCTTGTATCTTAGAAATTCTGTTTCCGCCCCTTGATACTCCTGGGTCTCGACTTCAATTGATTTTCAGCGAGCACAAGCAACACAAAAAATCCAAAAAAGGGTAGACAAATTTTTCCATTCGTACTCGACATTCATTTAACAAAATTAATAGTAGAAGTAGAAACGATATTTCAACAGAATAATACCAATTAAACTATTACGTGAATTCTCATCAGCTGTGTACAGACAATCTGTGAAATCAGTATTTCACACACAGCAGTAAGACAAAACTTGCAATCAATCTGTTTACATAAAGTTAATCCATAACCTCAACAAGGCAAGGCAAGAGTAGTCACAAAATCAGTCTAATCACATAAATTGGGTTTCAGTGGCGAACAACTGAAATCTCGGCAAACTGAGGCCGACGAACGGTGCTCTGTCGATTAATGATATTGAATGATTCCCGCGGGTGTTGGCACGAAGTGCAGTCAATTATATGCTGGGCGATAAAGTTTGCGGGTATCTCAGGGCTGTTTGGCACCAATTTATGTGGGACATGTTTTGAAATCCTCATGGACAGCCTCCACTCAGTTCGGCCCACATACTTGATACCGCTATTACAGTGAAAAAGATGGATCCAAGACGCGTTACCTAGAGTCTGGCCTGTCCAGATCGGATTTGCAGAAAAGCTATCAAACTTTGTGGAGTAGTACTAACAAGGCGATGAACTTCTGGGGATAATCGCTTTCTCGTTGTGTTGCTGAGGCACGTGGTAACTCACTGTAACTTGTAAATTCAGAGTAGATCTTAAGAGTTCTCGAGACAGTGTTGTGGACGAGTGTTCGTTTGTAGTTGCCAGGGCAGAAACTGTTAAAGTTGTAATCCTGTCATGTATAAGTCAGCTTGAATTACCCGGTGATCTCATATTTGTGTCACATCTTTAAGTATTCTAACCACCCATGCTAACCGTTGTAGGAACTCAGCCACAACACCTCACTGAGAATCCACCATTTGAAGTTGGTAACACAGTATGTCTGGTTGGTATGCCGCCTTAACTTGTTCTCAGTTCGCGTATCCCAACTGCGGAACATACTTCCATCTTTTCTCATATCTGCTTCTACGTTGTCCGAATTCAAAACTCAGCTTGGTGGCTGAGTTAGATGGTTTAACCCAAATTATTGGGTCATATGACAATGTAACCAAACAATGTGTACATGTGAACATTGCATTACGTCCACCGCTACACGTATTTTTTGTTTTAGCACATCCAATTTCTATTTCAATCTTTACCTACGGAATACTTGTGTTTGTTTTTATCCGTGATAAATCCATTGTTCCATTCTACGTAGCTCGACTGAATGTATCATATGGTTTCCTTTGCAGATTCACATCTAAAAAATGGAGTGTTAATTGTTTCTGATTAGGTCATTTTGAACATGTGTGAAAGGATTGCGACACGCAATCTCAACGTGGGCTACCCATGGCCACGCCATCATGTATTGATACCTTGTTCCATTAAATAGGGACTGGATGTTCCTCGCGCACAGTCGGATAAGCGACTCCAGATTATTCGCCGGAAATCCCGCTTTGTCAGCATCAGCGCCAGTGAGGTCAAGGGGGCATCCTAAAGGAATGTTGGTAAACAACGAACAAACTTCAACTGTAAATATCTGTTTTCCATCTACGTTTAAATCACGTATCTTGTTGACAAAGTCAAAGTTATCCTCGAGGGTTCCAATTTAGTGGAACAATGTATCGCTAATTAGACGGCATGGCCATCTGTTACGACCCACAGAATAAGGCTGAACACCTGCTTGGTCCTGCTTTGAGAACCAGAGAAAGCGAAGGCCACAGCGCAAGGTGTATTGATAGAACCAACACAAAGCGGGTGAAAAGCAGTAGGAAACACACCAGAACCAGTCGTCTCACAGTCGAATACTCATTTGGTTAAAAAGGACACCGGAGGCAGGCGTAGTGTGGGGTTTATGTGAAACAGGCGACAGGAACAAATATACCGCAGCACAAACACACTGTTGGGATTGTGGACACGCATTGTTTCGACACAAAACCTGGTTTTGTCTTGTAAAATAACACACGCTTTCTGAACAAGTCCATGTTCCGTACTTTGTGCAGAGTCACAAAACATCAAGGCAATTCTTCTGGCTCCGGCCAAGATGTACTTCTCGGACATTTCGCCACTCTGGGTTCCCTTGTGAAACTACACCATCAAGCGTCGTAATCCATTCATATCACATGGACTTCAAAATGACCCTCTAATCAGAAACAAATAACACTCCATTTTTCGATGGGAACCTGAAAAGCAATCCAAATTATGCACCCACTCGATCTGTATACTGCGCGCCGTCCTGGAAGGGACATCATCTCAAATTCCAAAGTTTCTGCCCTGGCAACTACAAATGTGCACGCGTCCAAAACACTGTCGCGAGAACTCGTAGAATGTACTCTGAATTCACAACTTTCAATGAGTTACAAGGAGTCTCAGCAACACAATGTAAAAAAATAATCACGAAAGTTTCGCGCGCGTCACTCAAACACAAAGCAATCAAAAAATAGTCCGGCCGACGTCCTTAAACAAGTGTTCAAAAAATTGCCAATCAACTGGAAAAAATGACAGGTGATTACAACATCGTCTCAGCCAGTCCATTAGTTATATTATCATGCTGCCTAGTTAGTACTACTCCACAAAGTTTGATAGCTTTTCTGCAAATCCGACCTGGACAGGCCATACTCTAAAGTTAACATGTCTTGGATCCACCTTTCTCACTATAATGGCGGTATCAAGTACATGAACCGAACTGAGTGGAGGCTGTCCATGAGGATTTCAAAACATGTCCCGCGTAAATTGGTGCCAAACAGCCCTGAGATACCCGCAAACTTTATCGCCCAGCATATAATTGACTGCACTTCGTGCCAACACCCGCGCGAATCATTCAATACCATTAATCGATAGAGCAGCGTTCGTCGGCCTCAGTTTACCGAGGCTTCACTTGATCGCCGCTGAAACCCAATTTATCTGAGTAGACTGAGTTTGTGACTACTCTTGCCTTGCCTTGTTGAGGTTATGGATTAACTTTATGTAAACAGATTGATTGCAAGTTTTGTCTTACTGCTGTGTGTGAAATACTGATTCCACAGATTGTCCGTACACAGCTGATGAGAATTCACGAAATAGCTGAATTAATAGTTGCCGAGAAGGAGCCACTGAATCTAAGGAAGTTCTGGACAGCGATAGTTTCTGTTATTAAGAAACAGGGCATCGTTTTATTCTGCACACACATGGGAAATGGTGGTCTATCGACTTTTGTGGCTGCGAATCTCGTAGTATATTGTGTTCATTGGTCCACTCACAGCCTATCTGTCAGTTCCTGCTCCATCTTCGTTTATTCACCTCGAGCCGCGGTTAGGTACGGCAGCTCCGCTTTGTATGTCTGGTCTGTCGTTCGGACCTCGTCGGCGTATGGGTGTTGCGAGTAAGCTGATGCACAAATGAGTCAACCGCACTCCCTAGCTCTAGCTTGTTGGTGCATGTACCTGATTGGGAGATTTGCCATATGTTTCTAACTTTCTTTCGCTCGAGCCGCTATTCAGTAGCATACTCGCCTGCACTCGAAACCCTTGCTTTACCCGCATGAATACAGCCGGTTCCTACGCTTTGCTTAAACGACTAGCTCTCAGCATAATGTTGTCCTAATGAAATGTTGTTTCTCCTTGCTGTTTTGGAATTCTGCATTCTGGTTTAATTTATGGAACACATAAATTCCGTTGCATTTCGGGCAAGGTACATTAACTGTAGAGGTTTCGCGGTGCCCCCCTTATTTACTATGTAAGCAAAACTCTGAAGGTCTAGACTCCGGCATTTCCGACCTGATGAGGGTAACCTCAACTAACTACCTTTAATCTTCCTTACACATTTGGTGTAAATCTCGACGACCAACAAATCACTTATCAGTGTTTTGTTGGGCCAAATGCGTTTTACTCCTAAATCAGATTGGTTGCTTTTGGCAACTATCGCATAACGGATCTATCGGTAGGTTCCAGATCCGACTTACTAATTAAGATCGATTCAAAAGATTATTTTTCAACCGAGTAATATGTATCTCTGCTTGCCCAGAAGTCTCCAGTCCATGTATGATCCTAATGATCCATTCGCCTTTCATGCTGATTAATTGGAAGACGGTATCCAAACAACAGAGCCTTTCATGGGCAGTAAGTTCTCAGAGTTACATTACCGCACCCTTGGCTTGGTGGGCGTACGACGAGGGCCAGAAAGACGTGAGAAGCTGATGCTGCCTGCTCCGAATTAGTTTTGAAATTGAGCGCTTCTATGGTAGTTGTAGTGTTAGAGATGCTAGTGAAAACCGCTTGATTGAAACGCATTCAGATCAACAAGAACACACATAAATGCAATCGATAACTGGGTCTTACAGGGAGTTGTGAGCTTTCGTGGCGTATATAGAGACTAAGGGGACTAAGAGAAAGCGTGTGTTTTAAGCAAATGACCGCACTGGCTGGAACGAGGAGTCGACTACACTAGATCCAGTTTGTGCGACGGATAAACACGGAGTCATTTTCGTGTTTTTCGTGTAAATGTAGTCTCGTCAGTACACTTTCTACATGCTAAAGCTGCAAATGTAAGCATGATACTTCCACCTAAACACGAGTAATGTGTTCATTAGCACCATTAACCCATCGCATTAACTAGCTGAGTTTCTTCAATATGATCTGATCACAACCGCTCCTATGCATGGATCCGCTTGCCTACACAATTATTGTTGGGTGTAGCGATAACAGCATGTGAATTGTCGGACAAAAACAACTTTCCGATGAGGTGGAACTTGTACTCAAAAGCAACAACAAATGTGGTATCTTTCCCTGTTTAACTATGAAATTACCCAGTTGCACACTACCGTTTTAGCCCATGGTAGATTAAAGATTCAAATAGCGTTCCCTTGGATAAGAAATTATCTTCTCCTTGAATAAAGGGAGAACAAGCCACGGGGAGTTTCCGGAACTGTTCACTGGTGAGTCGCAACAAACGGAAGAAACTCATCCAACCTTTTGAGAACATAAATATATAGTCAATTACCCCAAGTTAAAAAAACATATGCCGCACTGTTGACATCCCTATAAAATAATGAAATCTTTTCTTCGGATCATGCCACAAAGACTGAGCTTACCGAGCGCTTCTGTCGAAGACGATTTTTAGCAACCTACCTGTAGGGATAAACGTAGTTGTCAGGAAGATGTCGACCACATGCAGTACTCGTGCGGTTCCGACGCCACTCAGTATTAATTTCATCCGCTACTCTCCGAGCTCCTTTTAGGGCATCTAAATAATCTTCAAACTCTTTTAGAACCGTATGGTAGGTCATAAAGTAGGTTGCGCCAATTACATTTCCTGGACGCAGTTCCACAGCTTCATGGTAAGCAGCCCTTCCGCTGGAATATAAAATAAGCAAAAAAGCGGAAATGTCTGTAAAAGGTAACACACTGTTGAAACAAGTGGTGCTTAAAGTTGCGCTGCCTTATTTTCTGTAGACAATCATCACAGTTTATTCTCTATGAAAAGAACCTCGGTCAGTTAACAAGTAGCGGTTCGCAGCTTTAATTTCCTGGATAACATGGAGAATTTGACCGATTATAATCCAGCAAACCGCACTCCATGTTAACATGATAGACTTATTTACTACGTGTTAAGTAAACGAGTACTTAGCCATTCATCCGACGAAAGTGGAAATAGTACTAAGAGTAAAATCTAGAAGATAATCGAGCTATATGCATCATCACGCCAGCTAGGGGTGCGAAATACCACAGCTATTGTGCTGCAATACAACGCAAATGCTCTGTCCCAAAAGGAGGAGAGAAAGGAAAACGAACCAAGCAAACAACACCAAGTTTCATTTTGGTACTATGCACGATAAGTGTGATGATGATTGGAGAGGTGGCTAAGCATGACGGGTAAGGAGGAACACCTCACAACCCAAACTCCACAGAGGCAGCATCTTCCTGTATAAATAAGCGCATCAAACGAAACGTATTCATCGTCTTTTCGATAACAACCAGGGAGTCAGGGACTCACATTCATGCCCAAGGTTGAAGTGAGAGCCTCCATAACTCATGACCAACTCATCGGCTGTTCTCGTCTTCACTTCATCTACAGAGACTTTAGTCGCGTAAACGAGTCTTGTGAGTCGGTGTGTTGGCACCAGTAACTAATGGACCAGCCATTGGAATCTGTTACGTTGAATAACGATGCTGCCTGGATCATTTGCACATCCGGTGGCAAAAAAGACACCGAACAAGCTCATGGGTCATTCATTGTCCCTAGCACATATGAAGTAAACGTCGAACGCACCGGCGGTCGAAACTAATAAGTCTCTTTATGTCTGTCGATTTAAGGGATAAGGATTCATAGCCATATAGTAGGATAGGATAGACAACTACATTATAGACTCCAGCCTTCAGGGCAAGAGTATTGTCGGGTTGGCGCCATAACTGGAATGTTATGCAAAAGCGCCTCGAGATTTTTCAGTGGGGCTAGCGATATTTTCCATTCCCTAGGCGCTGCTATAGCTGCCATGGTATTTGCCTTTCTGAGTGACATTTAGTTAATCCCCACCACGGGTCGTCGCAGGGGATGGACCCTGCCAGCTCTGGAGTAAATCTTTGTATTTGGTGGGTGTCTGCATAGGCAGACAGCTAGTATTTTTGGAACTGTTAAGATTAAGGCAATATCGCCAGCATACTCCAAATCGAGAAGTTGATCACCTGGGAACGTTGTCATATTTTCTATGACGCGTGCAGTGAACGCAGTTTCATAACTTCGTCGACTGCGAAGTTGGATAGGGAATGGTGACAGTATACATCCCTGTCTTGCAGAGCTAGAGATAGTGAAGAACTGCTCGAACCACTCGCGTAAGGCGTCCTGGCGGATTTTGTGTATTTCGCAGACCCACCTTTCCTGATCACATAGTTTCAATTTGCGCATCGATCCACTAAATGGGGGATCTTTCGTGCCTAGGAATACTACTTCGGTGGGTCGCCAACACATGTGACCATGAGTCAGTAGCTGGTGCAAACTGAAGATGTAATCAATACAGTCTTAGTTTCGACAAACACCGGCTTACTCCTCATGGATCTGGCTTTCATGAACATCATTCAGCCTACAAAGAATCTTAAGGACAACCAACTGGGAGACGATAGGGGTCAGACTGATACTTTATGAATGATGCATTCTAAAAGTGAGACTCCTTTGACAGTTTGGACAATAATGGAGCAGTTCTGGTCGGTTGGAAAAGTTTCATGCTCCTACAGCTTCACTATTAATTCAGGTAAATCGCCTACAAGAGCAGGTTTCCAGGATTTGAAGAAACACCAAGGATATAAATCTGGTCCTGCACCTTTATTCATTTTCAGCAGTCTAATTGCGCACTCAACTACTGCGTTTGAGAATGAATCCAAAGGGACAGTGCAGAGAATGAGACGATCAATGGCCGACAGCCAATCTGATCGAGCCGGCCGACTAAATTATTCTCCATCGTTTTCATCCCAAAAGTCCAAGCGTTTGGACAAGTTCTGAACAATTTGTCCCCTCTCGTCGCACATGATTTCGCTAACACAATGTCTCCCGCTGCCCGTTTCCCGTATCAAACCGGCTAACTTGCGGTGTTTATCAGTCACAGCGGCCGTTTCCATCTCCGATGCAGGATGAAATAAACAGGCTTCTCGGTTTCTCTTTAGGGTGGCAGATAATTTTGCCTTATATTCTTTGTGAATGTCGTAGTGTGAGCTTCTAGCCGGAATGTTTTGTGAGAGACCTCTTAAACATCCATTTCCTGAGCTGACAGATTTACCACATGATGTAACCCGTGCTGTCAATAACCACTGGTGTACATGTGACCAGTGACCTTCAACTGCGTTTAGTGAGTGCTTACTCAGCTCAGGTGGCCGGATGCTCTGATACGAAGTCAGAACATCCGGCTTCGCCAGTTTGCGTGTCCATGTGCTCACAACATCGTCTCTGGCGCCAGTTGAAACGTACCAGGGCATAAGCACACACGTGTACGGTATGCTCCAAATCAATCGACAGTATTGGGCACAGGTACTCCAACGGTAAATGCTCGCGATCTGGTCAATTTGCGCCCATGACTAGTCTGAGACTGGTAGACGACCCTGCACCTTTCTGTTGGTCCTTTGTCGGTAATTAGTCCTCGCGAGGAATTGGCGAGCATATTCACACAAATGTGGCAGACGCTCGCCACTATCACTACGGAAGTCCACAGTGCGCTAGCCGCCAAGTTCACATCATCAGTTTACCATCTTCCAACTAAATCATTCAGATCACCAGCGAGCCCTACGGTATCCGTACTTCTCCTGTGACGAAGTACCTCGTTCAGTTGATGATACTGGTTTACTTTCACCTACTCAGAGCTATAGTTTGAGGGGGGAGTAGTCAGCAATGGCCAACAGACACATATTAGCTCCCGACTGCTAATTGGGATCCAGCGGACCAGAGCGATTCCAGCCCAGAGTGACTAGCATTCGAAGTTCAGTCGTCTCCGGACAACCGCAGTGCGAAAGTACCTCCATTATCACATGAAGGAGATCATGGAATGAGCACATGGCTCATGTTGCAGACCAGTTTCCGATAAGCAGCACATGTCGATCGATGAGGTCTCTATTATTTGGGAAAGTACTGCCTGTTTACCCACAGGCAACAAACTACATGCGTTAAGACATGCTAGTGCTAGCTAGACTCGAGGACTCCAAGTAGAGGCGGATGAACTTGTCGATCAGAACGGAGAGACATCTTGCCATTGAGTGTGATCCGAGACTAGAAGATGACAGACTAATAAAGTAAGGTTGAAGTGGGCCAAAAGTTTGGAGCTTTAAAATTTGGAGAATAAAAACGAAGTTTGTAAGGTACAACGAGGATGAGAAATCACAAGAAGACGGGAATACTTGAGCAGTAGCAACCTTATCCCCATCTACCCTGCTTGCTGTAACCGACGGGACGCCGTTTAGTATACTCTGCGAGGACTAGGCCATCAAGAAGTTGTATGTAGAAGAGTTCATTGTGTTTCTTGATGATGATGCTGTCTGGTTTCCCAATCCTAGACAGGAGAACAACTAGGGCTGTCGACCAAAGTCTTTGAGTAAAAAATTGACCGCAAGTCATCGGAGGATTGGCATGGTGCTACACGGATTCCAGTTTATGAAGTATGGATCTACCCTCCCTCCAATCACAACGTAGAGGTCCAGGAAACAGTGTGTCTGGCGTCTAACCATTGACAAATCAGGCATGAGTGGCTATAGAGGGGCAAGAAGCATCACTTATAAACGTTCCATGGATGATTGAAGCACACAAACCACGGCACCACTTTAGGTCAAATCTGCTCGCTACGAGCTATCCTTATGGCATTTACATACTTGGCTTTGGGTCCCCCAGTGTAGGCCGAAGCGGAGTATCTATCATATTCTAGTCAGGATGTTGCTTAAGGCACATTTTTCACCCTACTGGTCGGTCGCAGCATGTCTCGCGCGTTTCCTGCTAAACATAACTCAGTCGTTCGGGGGGTTTACTAACAGACTTACAATGTGGTGGTAATGCTCCCTGTTATTTAACAGATCTCATTTTTACATGCGCTCCTGGTAAGTATATTTTACAAGGATGAAGATGTGTGCACCGTGGCTGAATTTTCGCACATCCTTGACTTGATGGTTCGTTGGAATCGTATCTCCATTAAGCTCGTCTAAGGTGCCCCACTCGTGAATTATATAAGCCATCCAGATATCCGAGCTAACTCGCATTGTAGTCCCTTCACTAGTAGCACGTGTGATTCCAATTCAATGGAAATAGCTATGGCTCTAAGGAATATTACAATTAGGTAGAACTTCACAAGCATCTGAAATTAGCCTTGCAATTGTGGATCATCCAGTACAGTATGCTGTTTGGCGGTTCACAATTGAAAACTTAGCGCAACTCGCCAATTGAGTGGTGCAGCAAATGTGGTACTGTCTGTGTCTTACAATGGTGGCAGTAAAATTAAAGAAAGTATGCTGGACTAAAGATCGAGAATTCAGACGTGATTATATGCGGTAAATGTATGAGCAATCATATGCCATAACATGCAAAGCACCATTGGAACTTGGTCTTAGGAAAAAATGTAGAGTTGGGATTAATTTACACCACCACCACCACCATTCAGATTTTTCTTCCGCTAATTGATTTCCTTGGTCTTAGGTAAAGTTATGATGGTGATATGTTGGGTTATTAAATTTGCTCTTATCAATGTCTAAATCACATGACCTAATTGCTAAGCAAAAGGCATTACATCACAGTTAGAATGTGACCATTAAAGAACTACATAAATCAAGCGAAAATATTTTCTTACGCTTTTGGACAATCAATGTTTGGATTTTTGTTCAGAAATTGGCCCACGTATTTGTCAAAGTCATCGGCAGATGGCCGTAAATTGGTTAAAGTCACTGGGCAACTTTCACACTCTTCCGAGGACATATCATCTGGACAAAAGTCGACCATGTTCGGTAACATTTGGCAACACATTTCGTTTTCCGGATCAAGCCAATCGAGGTAGTCATCAATCCATGATGATGCCGGCTGTGCTATCCGGGTGCTGAAGTAGGAAGTAGTTTTACAGCAAAGCATCGCAAATATCTAATATGGATTGGATCAAGTAAATATCATTGATACGTGCAATTACTTGACCCGAAGGAATTCAAAGTTTTTTGTGCACTGGCCAAAGTAGACGGGGAATAGCTTTCGAAGCACAAACCTCTGTATTTGAACAAAAACATTCCACTATCACAGAGATAAGACTTTTGAGACCTGTTACGATTTCGTTAGTTGCAACGCAGTGCGCGTATGATAAACATAGGTAGTTAACTATGCTGAAGTCATAGCGACACGGTTAAGCGTAGTTGTCTTTGGTGAATATCGTGCAATCAGCACAAAGACAATCATGTTGATTGCACCAATGTTTCTGTGCTCACAACACCGGACGAATGGTCAATATCAGCCACCTTTCACTAATGGCCAGAATCTTCCTAGTCCGGTTTCGGGATAACATTTTGAACAAACTCACCAAGTCAATTTGGTGACGGGCTACTTTAAGGTGCTTTGGTGATGATTGAGACTGTGTACCTGCTCATCCCTTGCCCCATACTAGCTTGTGGGCATATGGACGTCTTAAACAACTTTGAGAAGGGTTTGGTAATTCTTTGATTCAGTTGACGGTCTGTTAGGTTTCATAGCAAACTGCGAGCGAAGTTGCAGACAAGGGGAGATTGCGAACTTTCTAGTGTCTTGCTCTGCCGGTTCTCAAGATTACTGCTTCCTGCGGTGAAGCCGCGCCGTAATTGAACATTCGAGTAGGCATGCGACAAAGAAAAAGCTCACTTTCATTCGCAAAATGGTTCAATGTGAGTGGTGGGAACAGGAAACCATTCTTTATCTGTACCATCAGCAATGACTGTTTCGTTTCGGATGGTCTAATGTGAACTTAGAAGAGTATCTCTAAACACCCTTTAGACAGTAATCATTGGTTAGCATGACAAACATATTTACTACACATGCTTTTAATGTATTTGCTGAGTTGTGACTGACGGGAACAATCGAAACGTTAAAGTATCGTAACTTATATTTTCTCTTGTCGTTGATGAAATGGTTAAAAATGATCCAGTTACAAAGATTCTCAAACTTAATCGACTGAGAATGTATTGCGCGTCAGCATTGCAAGTAGTGGGATGACGCGAAGTACAGCTTGCACACGTATAACGATGATGTTGAATGCTACCTATGAGTTCGTTCAGGGACTTACAATTATTCGACGCGTGCGTCATTATAAATTTGGGGTTCTGAAAAAGGTTGACACAGAAGATGAATGAGAAGAAGGTAGCAAACTGGGTCCAAGTGCTTAAATCTATTTTCTGATAAGTATGGGTGACGGCGTAGCCCATTCAGCACAATGAACTCGAAGGAATGAAATTACACGCAACGGAAAAGACGCCGCTAACATCTACTAAGTTTCGCTAAGATAGGCGTTGCATTTTTTTGCGAATGGTGGTGGTCTCACCGTGCTTCAGAGATGGAAATGGCCGCTGTCCTTAATAACCATCGCAAGTAACTCCGGCCGATAGAGGAATTGGGCATCAAAAGACCTGGTGGTAGTGAGACTATGCGTGACAAGAGTGGACAGCCTATCCACAACTTGTCAGAACGCAAGGATCGTTGGGCTGAACACTTTGAAAGGCAATTCAATCGATAGAAACTGTTAGATTTCTCGCCGGCCACTGATCGTCCCGCTCCGTGGGCTGTCCCTTTGCATCCACCCTCTCGCTCAGAAGTCGAACGTGAGATCGGACTGTTGAAGTTGAACAAAGCCGCGGGACCAGATGATCTTCCTCCAGCCCTCTTTAATTTCGGAGGATCTGCTCTTGTGGATGATTTATACGAGTTACTAGTGAAACTGTGGGAGCAGGAAACTATCCCAACCGACTGGAGCCGCTCCGCCATAGTCCCAATTTTCAAGGGAGGCTCAAGATCAGAATGCGGCAACCATAGAGGAATCAGTCTGATCTCCATGGCTTCCAAATTGGTTGCCTCTGTCATCCTTCACAGACTGACAGATACTCGTGAAAGCCATATTCGTGAAGAGCAAGCCGATTTTCGTCGAGGACGTGGCTGCATTGACCACATCTTCACTTTGCGTCAGTTGTTAGAGCACCGTCACACATATTGGCTGCCCACCGTATTCGTATTCCTCGATATCAGAGGTGCTTTCGTTTCAATAGATAGACTTGCACTTTGGGACTGCCTGCTCAGCAAAGATATATCTGAGAAATATGTAAATATTAGCCGAGGATTATACGCGCGCAGCACGGGCAGAGTGAAGGCTTATGACAAGCTGTCATCGCCCTTTGATATCTCCAGCGGTGTGAGACAAGGATGCCCGTCGTCAGCTTTCCTCTTCAACTGGGATAATAACGAATTCATGGAAATCGCGTTTACAGGACACAACTTAGAGGGTGTGGCTCTGCTCCCAGGAGAACGACTTCTTGACTTGGAGTATGCTGACAATATTGCCCTAATCTGTTATAGTTCCCAGACTGCCAAGCGGCAGTGGACAGATAGACACGCTGTCCGTCACTTGGGGCTTTGCTTCGCACCCTCGAAGTGCAAAGTCATCCTTCAAGATTGGCTTGGATCGCCTCTTGCGCTGACCCTTTGTGGGGATCAGCTGGAAGTCGTGCAAAAATTCAACTACCTGTGAAGTTGTATCGGCGCTCGTGAGATTGAAGATGAGATCATGAACCGTATAGCAAAAGCTCGGGCGCTTTTGTTAACCTTAACCGCTTATAGCGCTGGCGCGGCATCACGCTCGCTCTGAAGTGTATAGTGTACAATGCAGCTCTACATTCGACCCTATTGTACGGTTGTGAAACCTGACCCCTTTAAGCAGCGAACCTGAAGAGGCTAGTAACTTTCGAGCACCGGTGCCTTCGCAATTTACCTCAAATCTGGTGGGAACACCGTGTATGCTACAAGCGTATCCGACGCCTGGTTTACGGTAAGGAAAAGAAAATGAACCGCTCAGCACCGTTATTTCACGTACCAGACTCCGATGGCTCGGCCATGTGTTACGCATGCCAGCCCACCGACTCCCGCGACGCGCGTTGTTTGCGCGCCGGTGGGGAAGTGGATGGAAGAATATAAGGGGTGGCCAAGCAATGACATGGTCGAGAGGAATGAAGGCCCTCACTTCGGAACTGGCCTCGTTTGGAGCGTTTATGCTCCCTGGTTAGGGTCCGACAGAAGATGAACATGTTTGGCCAGATACACTTCTTGGCATGGCTAGAAGCCTACTTCAATCGCGTCCATGCTTTCATTTCTTTTGTCCCTCCCCATCCCTTTTAGCCTTCCGCTCCTATCGCAATCTCATTTCTTAGTATAATGTAATTTTACATAATAATTCTTTTGTTGTTTACTAGCCGGCTGGTAGCATTTCGGAACGATGCCCATCCGTTACGGGTAGCTCAGCTGGCTTGCACCTGTTGCCTTCGTTTCTCCGTTTTTCTTCTACGTATTGCGGCACAGTAGCTGAGGTGTTTCCGACCTCTAGCTAACGTGTATAATGAAGATGCTGATGATGACTATGTTTCGAACAGCGCGTAGTGGACCGTTGGAACAGTCTGTCAGGAAATATGATTCAATCAACTCGGTGTCGGTAGTCAAGTAATCTATAGACACGCCCTTTGCGGATATTATGTTGGGAGAATGTTGCACAGTCAAATAAAACGTAGGTTATTTGTCATCTCTTGAAAACATGCGAAATTTCCGAATGCTTACAGGGAGGAGTTTCCAGTCCCCAGTTTCATCTCACATTACCTCCATCCCTGCCCCCACCAGATGTCAAGATGCTGAAGTATACTGCTGGCATGATGACATCTCTATCATCCATAGAATCATCAGTCAGACAACAAACTCTTCTGGATAAACTCACAAATTGGTCTAAATTCTCCTGCTTATCGCTGCTCACCTAAACCTTCAAAGATGTTTTTTTCTCACTGCTAAAGATAATCGCTCGCAGAAACTCCTCATGCAGTTCCCACAACTCTGTATTGACGGTAAAGCTTTGAACGTGTGAACGACAGGGAATTACGTGAATTTACACTTAGCAGTGATGTCAGATGACCCCCTCACGTGGACGAAATATTTATTTGAGTCAACAACTCTCGTTCTATGTTACTCAGGTTAGGAATTCCTCTGCACCCCATTGTCTGATTCTACTTTTTATCACTGTGTGGCATTGCCTTCTTAAACCCAGTACTCTCCAGTGATCTTCCCTAGCTTCTCAATTAAGGACCCCAAAGTGATTATCAGCCCAATAAAACATCTGTCTCGATATGGTGACTGTTCACGACCGTAATTTGTTAAAATTATTGTATTCTTCAACAACTATGCTTTCGAAATACTCAACGATGCTAGTAGACCCTTCCAAATGGCTTTGTTCGAATGTATACCAAACTTATCGATCAGCCAGGGTGACAACGCTGCATATGTCTTGGCACGGACGTATGGTACTCCCTTATTTGTCACGCCGCTTGACTGATCAGAATTTAGACATGCAAGGACTAATGGGTAAACTGCATCATCTGTATTAGTCCTTAGTGTTATTATGAGAACTGCTGTTCTATACCTGTCTTCTTGTAAAATTCTCTTCCTAGTTATCTTGGGCGTGTGTGTGGCAACTTAATATTCACTCCTCGAGGGTGCATAGAGCACATACTTGATTTGATCAAATTTTCACGGAAGTACACGGGCTTATCTCTATTTGCTCCGCATTTGCAGTCAAGATTCAGCATGTGCTCGGAAGTGGAAAAATATTTGGTTAGCATTACTAAGTAACTACCAGGAACTTGTCTGCCAAATGTCAGCACGGCGTGCTGCATATTTGATAGTAATAACGTGCAGAAAATCGTTTCAAAGAAGATTAAGATACTTATACGGTGGATGACGTTTCCGAGTGGTGTATCTACAATAACACCGGGATTATTACAACATCAGCTATCTATCTAAGCTCTTTAACCTGCAACTAAACGAAGTGATGTTCAATCTAATTAACCGAATTTTTGATGGTTATTATCTCAGAATTAAGTTAGGAAAAGGAAACGTTTTGTGGATATGATGAAATGTTCTGTAGGTAGATGAAATAGAATATTGTTTATTAAATTGTTAGTGAGATACTTAGAGCTCACCGAGTCAAGTCTAAGAGAAGAGATGAACAGGATTTAATTTTGATCCATATGGTGGTAAAATGTTATTGAAGAAGATTTCTCCAAAAATATTTGAGCATTTCGAGATGAGTTAACTCAATGCTCAAAGCCCCGCGCCGTTGCTGGAAACACTGTCGAAATTAGATGGCCCTCTATTTGAGCTCACTTTGTGTCCATTTACTTGACGTTTTAACGAAAGGATTGTTAATCTTTAGATTGCCGCATAGGCGAAAATGTCAAAGCACTTAGCGTCGGAAAGTTTGCATGCCCCATATTACTTTGTAACACCTACGAAAGTATGGCAAGAAGCGGGATTTACACCTTGAATGGATTCATTGCATAACTGACATGTGCATAAAATCGCCACAATATCAGGTTAGCTATTTTGATATCTTTTCACGAAACTAGTGAGATTCATCGGATTCGGCATCGCTCAACCCATTTCGTAAACATCCTGTTTCATGGTGTGCCTCAGCATGAGAATGGGATGCTAAAAGCACTTGAATGAATTCTTCAGAAAACAGCATTACACTTAAATAAAAAATGGTTTTACCTTTTACCAAATTACTCACTATGATGAACGTTTGGCTGCATCGCGGATGTGACCCAGTAGCGAATCCTGCGGGCATCCAACTGAACCACATATCTGATTCTGGCCCCATGTTTCGTTGTATATGTGGCCGCTCGTGACCACGAAGTAGACAGGCGGACCAACACGAAGGTATTCGGCCATCGCATTGAAGTAATCTAAGACGTAGGAATCCTGTGGCATTGCCAAGCGCTGATCCAGTCCAATGCGCATGCGCGTTGGAATAATCGCTATGGAGAAGCAGACCCAAGCCAAGATGATCACCATGATGATAGGTCGAACCCAAATTGACAGGATGAACGGAGCTAAACCACTTGTAATGGCTCGATGCAACCATGGAGTGGATTTGGGCACTGTGAATACAACGCATGTAAGCGCGATATATATGTTGGCTTTGAAAAAGCAATGGCTAACAGTAGGTCGTGTCTACTCAGAATTGGACTCTGATGATTTATTTTACATGAAAACTTACCAGTTTTTGCTTGTGCGGATTTCGTCCTCGTTAAAACTGCATTAACTGGAGTACTTGTTACCTTCATACAAGACTCCAGGGGAACTGCATTATTAGCCGTACCATTTCCGGTGGCATTTGCATTAACTGGGGCCACGGGATTAAGTTTCGATTTGCAAGCCCTACTATCCAGTCCGAAGCAGCAGCAGATGTCGAAACGCCTGGCCTGAAAGTCAAATTGTGCGATTACTGCTTACGAAAAAGAACAAACAAGAAGGAAGACTTTTCAACCGGTTTGCGACCATATGCGCAACATAGCTTATCTACTCACCTTAACCGATATTCAGTGCATGAAAATGGAACTAAAAGTCCAACAACCAGCCAGATGTTAGTCGAAAGATCAGCTTTGTAACGTACTCTGTGATGATTGCTAAGGCGATAGATTGCGTACAATAGTTGAATGAGACTTAGGATTTAGTAAGCTTGACAGAAAGCTGCTTAAAGGGGAAATATATGATCTGATTTAAACCCTGAAACAAGCACAGTGCAGCTATATAAGGTGCGTAAACGCACCGTTTCCGCCTCTTTTCACACGAAAAAGACTGGTAATATTATGGAAAAAGCGGGTTTATCAACCCGCACACGTGCTAATCGTTTTCACCGGCACACCTGAAACAAATGTAGCCATCAATAGTAGAGGTTCTAATAACTGTTTACCAACATGTTATTATGAACTGTTCATTTTCATCTATCAATACCAAACCTTCGCTAGCACCTGCTTAGTAAATTTTCATGTTATAAGCGTTGGTTATTAAACCTGAGGCTCCTGAGTTGCGCGGTGGGAACATGCATGTGTGACAGACGACAGCCCATTTTACGCTGTCCACCTAGACTGAGTATGTTTAAAAAGGTTTAAGCCTGGTTGTAAGAGGCAGCAAAGATACAAAATTATAGAATGTCACGAGGTGCACTGCCAGCAACGCACGAGGAGCCACAGGCACTGTCCTCCTATGAAGGACTTCTGACACATCATGGCACGTGAATCGAGTCAGCATGAGCCGACTGAACTCTATCAACATTAATTATCCACCTGCTTTAGACACAGTCCAAGTGATCGAATTGACTAAGGTTCACATTACTGCAAATTACCCTCCACCTTGAGATTACGCGTCACAAGACATTCACATAACGAGCTCTTCAAAATGACTTTGCAGACAGAGCAGTATTTTGTTAAGAGACCTAAGTATCCCGCTTGATCAACTTCCTGTCAGCTGGATCCTTTGCGATATTTTGCCTGTCAGTGTATATGCACGAATATGTAACTGATGTTTTCGGATCTTATCCAATGGTTGCTTTAGTCTAGTTTATGCCCCACAGTTCCCTTCAATGGTACTTGAGCTTAACATATGAAGTGTGCACGCCGCTGAAATCACTGATGTTCGCTCATCCCAAGCCATGACGAGCCATTTAGTCAAGCATGCCCTAACCACTAACATAATTTGTGCCGGAAGGTAACAATTATACACGTATGTGCATCGTTAATGTTCAGATAGTCAGTCCCATATTTGCTTAACAGGTTATTATGCAATATGTTGTGTTTGCACACAGCGAGCCAAATGTATTCATTACAATGCCAGAAAATCCCCTGATAATTAGTGGGTTCTTCAAGTATCAAGAAACAAATACACCGTTTGACTCACAAGTGCTAAATGTAAGCAGTGAATCGGAGTGTGTTCCATGGAAAGGTCATCAATTTACGAAGTATCTGTGACTGAAGATTTTGCCCACAGAACAGCCTTACAACCCACTGGATTATCCATGAGTCAGGCATCTTAAGTTAGATACAGTTAATTCAAACTTTCTATTGTTAAACACGAAGAATGGACGTGATCTGCTACGGACTCACGTAACTCAGCGTACATACACACTTGTAGTGAACCCGAAAGGTGTACTTTATCAGCAGTTTACGAAACTGGATCATCCTGGTGCATAGATCTACCGACTGTCCATTGTTTACTTGTTGTAGTTCCCCCGACATACTTTCAGCGCACGGAGTGCAACCTAGTTTGTTCCTCCCTCTTGATGATGCGCTCTTCATTACTTGTAGTCTGCACAATATACTCTGAGTCCGGCAGCCTCAATCTTCTCCACCGTCCTGTATTTGACACTTCCTTTGCGTTTCATCACTACCAACTAGTGTCTTAGGTGTACCCAAATATTGGTGACTCCACCTCCAAACGGTATGTGCCATTTGGATTTTACATACTGAGAGCTCGTTCCCGTAACTTCGGGCTTCATACATTTTTATCATTTTGTTTCTTCACCTACCGTATGTTTTACTTGCTTTTGATATGAATGATATAGAAGAAAAGGCATCCCAGTAAATGGTTAATGCCGTAGAACCCACCTCTACATGTTTTGGGAGAATGATACACGATTATTATTCGCACACCTAGAAGCCACTTTTCTCAACTGTAAAGTTTTGCAGATTGCGCTAAGTACAATCAGCTCGTATCCCAGTCTACCTAGGGTATATATTAAAAGGAGAGGGACATAATAACTTGCACCCCCCGGAAATAAAATATGGGACGCTTAAGTAGGTCATCCTGCAGCTAATCACGCCTTCGCACAAGCTCCGTTTGCTACAGCTGTTTCGGGATCTGCCACCGGGAGAGAAGATCCCCTTGGCCTTGTAGCGAGAAATGCAGCAAAATATTGGCAAGTCCAACATGGACGCTGGGATTCTCCGCGAAATGTAGATGCAACACCTATAGGAAAGCACACAGGCTATCCTCGCGATTGTTAGCTGTTGTAACACTGTCCTGCCTCTGCTCTGTGCTTGGGGCGCTGCCAACCCAAAAGTGGAAAAGACATTAGACAGGTGTGTCGCATGTGTTCACCTCCGACTGCGTGTTGCTGTACTGATTGATATCCAAACGTGCTCGCGGTCTCCACTGTCTGGCTGTAGCCACGTTCACGCCTGCGCCGTAGCCTCCGCGTCACAATGATGAACTGGATCTGTCAGCTGTCCTGGATTATTTACCAACCAGTGCAGTGGATGGCGAACTGAGTTTATCAGCTTTCCGTGCCGCCTACTGCAGATCCACTTCGCGTTTTGAAACCTTGTCGCCGCGTTCGTCCGATGTGACCGCTCAACACAAACAACCCGTTACTCGCAGACCAAACAGACCGCGTCATCGGATGACACCAGAAAACCTCTGAAATAAGAGCACGTACCCAACTTAGTACCGTCGCAACTCCAGTGACACCAGCGACTAGGGTACTGTCAGCAATGGACGTTCTGTCATCTCAAATAGCGTCGTTACGGCGCCGTCGGGAAGCTAACCCTAGACCGAAAACGCCGCAGCCGTTCTAGATCAATGCCTCGTCCCTCGAAACATAATGCTCCTGGTTTCTGATTTTATCATTTGCGTTTCGGTACTAAAGCGACAAGTCAACTCGTTTTTCCGCTGCTAAACGGTGTAACTTCTAAGCCGGTCCAACATGTTAACTAACGGTGTCGGCAAGACTCGAGGTCGTCTCACCAACATTAGGAGTTGTGATTCCAGGACCCGATTCCTAGTTGCTACCGGAGTAGTATTCGACGTAATTTCCTCTATTTTACCTCTGCGAAAAGCCTAAATGCCGCCAGTGGCATAGCAAAAGCTAGCTATGCTCATCAATCGCTTCTACTGAACAACAACAACCATCACTCCTTTATCCCTCGCTCTACTCAGCTCATACATCCTTTGATTGACCCCCTCAGAGGAGATGAAGGTAAGTTCCCTTTCCCTGAAACAGCACACAGCCCTTACCGAGCTGAAGGATACTAACTCTAACATAGCTACTCCTATTCATTTTCAACCGACTGCATCTCTGTCTGTTACGACTGATGCCTCAAATGTCGGTGTAGGAGCTGTCCAGCAACAATAATTGGGTGGGTTGTGACAACCTTCTGACTTCTTCGCCAAAAGCTTTCAATCAGCGGAATCCCGCTACAGCACTTTTGATAAAGCAGCGTTTGCTTGCCACTTCCGGCACACGCCTTATGATCGTGCTTCTACGGTCTACATTGAGGTTAGGCTGCTCCTCTATGCCTTCAATTCATCCTCTGACAAATACTTACCGCGAGAGATTATACACCTAGACTTGTCAAGCAATTCACCGCTAACATACGGCATGTCTGATGTTGCCAATCCCGTCTCCCATGCTCTCTCACGTGACCACCACACTCACCAATCCTTGCCTACTGTCGACATGGTCGTCATCGCACTCACATAGGTTCATGCCGCAAACATACTGCAGTCCACTTCACTGCATGTGCAGCATGTTCCCTTCTTGGCCACAGATGGAACGATCCTTTGCGACAATTCCACGGGTTCTCCTGGAGACTTCGTTCCGGTCGCTTATAGAAGCAGTGTAGTAGACGCACTCCACACACTATCACAGCTTGGTATCCGTGCATTCTTGAAACTTGTCGCCAAACGTTTCGTTTGGCCAAGTGTAAACAAAGTTATTTATACCTCGGCTGGCGTTTACCTTTAATGCCAGCGCAGCAAAGTACATTGGCACAAACATATTCCTATTAGCTTATTCCCTATCCCATTCTCTCGGTTATCGCACGTATATTTGGACTTACTAGTTCTTTTCCCAATTCATGCTGCTCCAAATGTATTCCTACATGTGTAGACCGTCTCATCAGATGGCCAGAAGTCATTCCCATAACAGACTGTACGGCAGAGACTGTTATTCAGACTTTCATGGATTGTTGGGTCTCATACCACAGAGGCCCATCCATCATCAGAACCGACCGAATAACGTTTTTCGCATTTTCACATACCAATAAGTCTTGCAACCAGGTAGGTCCCTGCTGTGCTCACACGATAGCGTATTATCAGGCAGGCAACGGATTAGTTGAGGAATTGAAAAGGCAACTAAAGTTTCACTGGTTTAGGGCACAACACTAAAGTTGCCCGGAGAACCGGTCGTGTATTCACAGTCTAACCTCGCCGTCCTTTGCACAACGCATGCCTTCATTACGTCCGACTCCACCTCATGAGCCGACCAGAGTTGTGAAAACGCACAGCGAACTCTCTTACTTGTACTCAGCTGTTCGTGCGTATTGACGCAGTGTGGCAGCAACCCCAGCCTCTCTACCCTGGCTCTTTCAGACTTCAGTAAGAAACTCCCAGGCACTTCGATATGGACCAGAATGGCCACCGAACA